CCCGACCTCTTCTAGTTCTTCACTATCTTTTTCCTGATCATACCTCTTTCCAAAAACACTTGCCATAATATTGTTTGAAGTAAAAAAATGAAGATGTTTTCTCAAGGAAACAACGCCATAGAGCTACTATTCGTTTGCTTTGTTAATTAACATAGTGACATAGTCTAGTTGTCGACCGACTTCCTGTGCCATTAGGTGCTTTGCTACGAAGAGATGAGAAGAAACTATTTTTCTCAAAAGTCTCCAATAGGTTCCATTGGGAGCGAAGCCGATGACACAGATGAACATAAGACTCTTTGCCGACTGCTTGATGGGCTGATCGGCGAAGTGTGGGAATGTCAAGAGTAGGGTATCAAATAGCGTTCCAAAAACGTCATAGCGACCGTGATATTGTGGTCGCGCCACCGTCTGAAAATGATTCTCATGATTTTTGCGGTGGGTCATGGATTCACACCAATCTCGGTGGATTGTGCCCATAATTTAACGGGAAACGGACGATTGCACCGATAACGGGACGCAACAACCGTTATTCAACCGTGGTACATGTTTTTTTTCCAAACAATGATGGGGGGAAAGAGGAAGGGGATGAGGAAAGGAATAAGGAAGGGGGGAAGAACCAGAAAGATCGGGGAAAGGAGGAAGAGAGGTCGAGGAAGAGGAGATTTATTTATTTTTAATAATTTTTAAAATATAATTTTAAAGGATATATTAATTTGAGATCCCTCTCACTTTTAGAATTTATAATTTAATCCCTAGTTTAAATTGTAAAACTTTAATTTTTATTTAATTTAGTCTTAATTTCAGTAATATAAATTTATGTAATTTAATTTTTACAATTTAATTTTAATTATATTTATTTTAGTCATTTTAGGGTAAGTTGTATGACATTTTAAAAAAATTCACGACCGCGATACCCGCAATGACCGCAATGACATCCGTTATGTCCGCAACCGTGATAAACGCGACGCGACCGAAAACATGACCACAAATGCAATTTAAAACCCTAATCAAGAGTTCTCGAGCGGTGCGGGGATTAGAAGAAACAATGATGGGTGGAACCCAGGCTAATAGCCATGAGCTGAGTGTTAGAGCGGGTGCAAGCCATGGCGGCAAGAAAATGGTGAGCCAAGCTACTACTCAAAGTAAAGAGACTATCAATTATAGGGAGACCACTAGGACCAGGGATGGGAGGCGACCTTTTTGGTTCATTCCATTTATTCATGCAATTCCTCCGACAACAAAAACCCATGTCAATAATGTAAAAGACAGAACCCATGAAGAGTGAAAAAAACATAGACAACAAGAAAATTTTTTATCTGAAAATTACTAGAAGAGTGAAAACCCACCAGGTTGTATGATCAGCTTTTGAAACCAAACACAACTCCATAACAATGTTGAAGAAAGAGAGTGTCTCACCCCTATGCTTTCTTTTAAGCATTTTAGTCTCTATGTTTTTTTAAGATCATTTTAACTTCTAATGTTTCATTTTAGAGAAAACCCCATTTATAGACGTAAACAGTTAGTTAACAAATTGTTAACACTTCAAAATATCAATATTTTACCTTAAAATAAAACATTAACAACCAAAATGCTTTTGAAAAAAATAATGGACAAAAGAACTATTTAGTCAAATATTAATACTTTTTTTATTCCTAAAATGAAACGCTAAAATGAAAATGTTAAAAAAGATAGGAGTCAAAATGATCATTTTAATTAATATTAAAAGTTACTTTTAGTATTATGCCAAATATATAGACATTGATCAAATTTGTTAGTATTATACTCATTTAGTCCTATTAAAATTGTTTCTTATTAATTTTTCAAAAAGTTAATTTTTTAAACTTTGATTATAATTATTTTAAATATTTTAAAATTTAAAATTTTATAAAATATATATTTCAAAATTATTTGATTGAAGGTTTTTAAAAATATAAATCTTCATATTTTTATCAATAATAAATTTTAAATAATAAAAAGTTAAAGTTAAAAAATTGAAAAAATATTCGATAAGAGATAATTTTAATAAGACGGGAATTAGTACTAATTTTATACCTCACGTGATTGGCACGAGGTTAAGTTCGTGGACTTGACGTTAAAACTGATTGATTAGTATCTCATTTTCTCCCTCTTTCCAAGAAAAATGAGAAAATTACAGCTCAAGAATATTAAAAAATCAACAAAAAAATAAGCCTTCAATTCATCCACTTTAGCCTTAGATCTTCTTCCTTCCAAAGACCCATTTTTTTCCTTCTAGAATCCCACCTCAAAAGGCGCCAATTCGCTAACCTTCTTCAAAAGCAGCCTTCCCAACCCAATCCCATTGCACACTACAAAAGAATCCACGCACAAATTTTTGTGTCTTCTTTCCAGTTTGATACTTTTCTCACAAACATTCTATTAAATCTCTACTCTAGGCGTGATAATGTACTTGACGCGACTAAGCTGTTCGATGAAATGCCTCAGAAAAACTTGGTTTCATGGTCCACAATGGTTTCTATGTATACCCGACATGGGTTTACCGAAAAGGCGTTGGTTTTGTTTCTGGAGTTTCGAAGGAGTTGTTGTAAGAGTTCAAATGAGTATACTTTGGCTAGCGTTATTCGAGCTTGTATGCAGTTGGGGGATGGCGGTCAACTTAGAGTTCAGATTCATGATTTTGTTATCAAGAGTGGTTTTGATCAAGATGTTTATGTGGGGACTTGTTTGGTTGATTTTTACATGAAGAGCAGGTGTATAGACGAAGCAAGGTTGGTGTTTGATGGTTTAAAAGGGAAAAATACGGTGACTTGGACAACAATGATAACAGGGTATGTGAAGAGTGGGAAGGCTGAGGTGGCATTGCATTTGTTTAGACAAAGGAGAGAAACCGATGTGATGCCGGATCGATATGTGATGTCTAGTGTTTTGAGTGCATGTTCAGTACTTGACTTTGTTCAAGGAGGAAAGCAGGTTCATTGTCAGGTTTTGAGGAGGGGAGAGGAAATGGATGTTTCCGTCATTAATGTGCCAATAGATTTTTATTGTAAATGTGGTAAGGTAAAATCAGCACGCAGGCTTTTTGATGAGATGATGGTTAGAAATGTTATTTCTTGGACTACAATGATTGCTGGTTACATGCAGAATTCATTTGACAGGGAAGCTATGAATCTCTTCACTGAGATGACAAGATTGGGTTGGAAGCCAGATGGCTTTTCTTGCACTAGTGTACTCACATCATGTGGTTCGCTTGAAGCTCTGAATCTGGGGAGACAAGTGCATGCTTACACCATCAAGGCCAATATTGAGTCTGATGAGTTTGTGACAAACGGTTTGATTGATATGTATGCAAAATGTAACTCCCTGATTGATACAAGAAGAGCTTTTGACATTATGGGTGATCAGAATGTGGTCTCATATAATGCGATGATTGAAGGATACTCAAGTCTTGAGAAACTTTCTGAAGCATTGGACCTTTTCGGCAACATGCGACTCAGGTCACTCCCTCCAAGCCTTTTGACTTTTGTTAGCCTTCTTGGTGTATCAGCTGCATTATGTACCATTGAAATCAGTTGGCAGATTCATGCACTTATAATCAAATTTGGGGTATCACTGGACTTATTTGTTGGAAGTTCTTTAATAGATGTTTATGCAAAGTGTTCATATGTTAAAGATGCGAGGCTTCTATTTGAGGAGATGAACAAGAAAAACATTGCTGTTTGGAATGCATTGTTTTTTTGGTTATACAGAACTGTTGGAAAATGAAGAGGCCCTGAAACTCTCCTCACAATTACAGTTATCAAGACAAAAACCAAACGAATTTACTTTTGCTGCCTTAATGACTGCTTCGAGTAACCTAGCAAGTCTCCAACATGGTCAACAGTTCCACAATCAGCTGATAAAACATGGTCTGGACTCTGATCCTTTTGTTACAAATGCCATCATTGATATGTATGCCAAACGTGGAAGCTTGGAAGATGCTCGTAAAACATTTAATACCACTGCTTGGAGGGATCTTGTGTGTTGGAATTCCATGATCTCAACGTATGCTCATCATGGAGAAGCTGAAGGTGCCCTTCAGATATTTTAAAGAACGCTGAAAGAAGGAATGAAACCCAATTATTTGACATTTGTTGGTATGCTCGCTGCATGTCTGCATGAAGGGTTTGTAGACCTTTGACTTCATTACTTTGGGTCAATGACTACATTTGGAGTTGAACCTGGGATAGAACATTATTCTTGTGTGGTCTCTCTGTTGGGCCATGCTGGTAAATTATATGAAGCAAAGGCCTTGATTGAGTCATTGCCAATAAAACCTGCTGCAGTGTTATGGAGGACCTTAGTTCATGTAGGATTGCTGGTAATGTTGAATTAGGAAAATATGCAGCAGAAATGGCAATTTCAATTGATCCAATGGATAGCGGTTCATATACTCTACATTCAAATGCTTTTGCATCTAAAGGCATGTGGGCAGATGTTAAGAAGGTGAGGGAGAAAATGGACTTAGAAGGTGTACTTTAAGAACCTGGGTGTAGTTGGATCGAAGTTAATAACGTAACAAATGTTTTTATTGCAAGGGATAAAACTCATAATGAGTCCAATTTAATATAATTAGTTTTGGACAATTTGATCATGCATATTAATAGTGCTGGGTATGTTCCCGATATTGCCACTCCTATAAATGATTGAGATGAGATGCGGTGGCAATATATTACACATATTGAGGCTGCTGGATATGTGATTCATATTGCAAACTCCCGATACAAAATTTAGATGATGTGGTGGCAACTGTGTACTTGACAAATAATTCTTACAGTTTGTGTAAGTAGTGTTTAAGTTAAACTCTTAATCCTAATTTATCTCTAAAAACTATCTCCTAATTTGTAGAAAATATGACACTTATTTTATCGAGGTCTCTAATTCATGTATATAAATACCCCATGTCCCCTCTTTTGTAATATGCAATTTTCTTTTGAATAAAAGTATTTCAATTCTTTCGTTACCGGAAATATCTGGTTATTTACATGGTATCAGTCGTCGGCGTCGATCCTAGCCTTGTTACAGCCACCGTTTGTTGTCCTCCCAATCATAAAATTTCGTCCTCCTTGTTGCAGCGTTGCTCCATTGAATTGTTGCACCCTTTGCAATGCCGTCCTTATCGCAGTGCTGTTCATTTTGCATCGCAACACAACCCTGTCCTAGACTCATCCTCCTTGTTGCGTAATCACAACGCTTATCTTCTCCCAGTACTTCTCTCATCACAACGGCAGTCCTTCCTCGCTGTTTGGTCACTGTTCTGCCAACCCGGTCTCCCCGTAACACATCTTTCAATTCCTTTTCTCGGCTGTTATGTTGTATCCTTCTTCATATAATCTTCCATTCGAGTCTGAAAATTCTATTATCCAGTCGTCTCCTTCCAACTTGGTTTCCTTGTCCATTACTTGTCATCGTCTAAATGGTGAGAATTATATTGCCTGGTCTCAATCCGTGCGTTTGTTCATCACCAGCCGCCAAAAACAGCAATATCTCTCGGATAATATGCCAATCCTTAATCCCTCTAATCCCCAATACGACAATTGGCTCACCGAGAACACCACAATCATGTCGTGGCTCCTCAACTCTATGTTGCCTGACATTAACGCGAACTTCATGTTCTACACCACCGCCTCGAAAATCTGGAATGCTGCCAAGGAGACATACTCCAATCAGGAAAACTCATCCTCTTTGTTTTCCATTGAATGCCGGATCAATGACTTGAAGCAGGGCGATCTTACTGTTATGGAATACTTCACTCAGCTGTCTCGCTTATGGCAGCAAATTGATCTGCTCGAAACTCCAGCTTGGCAAACTGGTGTAGATGCCAAACTCTACAAAGGGTTGCTTGAAAAACAACGTATTTTTCAATTCCTGTCGGGGCTGTCCGTCTCTCTTGATGATATCCTTGGTCGGATTATGGGCATCAGGCTTCTTCTGTCTCTTCACGAGGTGTTCTCTGAGGTCCGCCGCGAAGGAAGTCACCGCTCTCTGATGCTTCCTCCATTCGTTGAAAGTTCTGTCTTAAATACTCATTCATCCGGTGACACCCGTGTCAAGAAAGGTCGTCCCTGGTGCGATCATTGTCGGAAACCTGGCCATGTTCGTGATAAATACTGGAAGCTACATGGTCGTCCGACCAACTGGACTCCATCAAAATCTTCCTCGTGTCTATTCCACGGTAACTTTGTTGTAACAACATTGGAAGGTGGTTCATTTTCTCGTCAATAGCTGGATGATCTACGGCAGATGTTTGGTCATTTACATATTCCACCTGCTACTGAGACTAAATTTGCTTGCACTATTAGCGAAGGTAGTTCTCTTTTTGCCTCCTTATCCCCTTCACCCGGATATGTCTCTTGGATTATTGATTCCGGAGCTAGTGATCATATGACAGAAACTTCAGTTTATTTTCAACGTTTCACAAAAATGGTATCTCATGCAATGTTCGTACTGATGATGGCTCCATATCACCTGTTAAGTGCAGTGGCTCAGTTCGCATTAATAGCCGAATTATTTTGTCTAATGTTCTATTTGTTCCAAGTTTGACTTGCAATCTTCTTTCAATTAGAAAATTATTTACCGATTTACTTCTCATTTTACTCGTGATCATTGTGAATTTCGAGATTTTACGTCGGGGATGGTGATTGGCAATACTAGGTGTCGTAGTGGAATCTACATCCTTGACACTCCTCCTTATGCTCCTGTTCCAAACCACTCACTCCCACCATTTATTTATTCTTTTGTTTCATTTTCTCCTATAGATGCGGCCACCGACATTGTGTTATGACATTTTAGGTTAGGTCACCCAAGTTTTCCTTATCTTACAAAATTGTTTCCCAAATCATTTATTAATAAAAATCCCGTATCATTTTCTTGTGAAATTTGTTCACTTGCAAAACACATTAGAAGCTCTTATCCTCTTTCTCCATCTCGCTCACCTAAACCTTTTTCCTTAATTTATAGTGACATCTGGAGACCTTCACGGGTTACGGATTTACATGGAATTCGTTGGTTTATTACCTTCATTGATGATCACTCTCGTACCACTTGGACATTTCTTATGAAAGATAAATATAAGTATTCTATCATTTTCAAACGCTTCCACAAAATGGTTGAAACACAATTCCAAAGTTCCATTGGCATCCTTAAATCTGATAATGGTGGGGAATACATCTCTCAGTCGTTGGGATCTTTCTTCAAGGAAAACGAAATAGTCCACCTCACTTTATGTGTCGACACTCCATAACAAAATGGGGTCGTTGAACGTAAAAATCGTAATCTTCTTAAGGTAACCCGTGCACTCATTTTTTCTTCTAATGTTCTGAAATACCTTTGGGGTGAGGCTATCTTAATAGCTACTTTTCTAATCAATCGTTTTCCTAGTAAGATTCTTGCCTTTAAGTGTCCACGGGATATTCTTTCCACTAAATTCCCTCATTTCAAACCTTTTACCTCTTCTGTTCCAATTCGTGTCTTTGGTTGTACTGCCTTTTTCCATGACCATAATCTTCGTAAATCTAAACTTGATCCTCGAGCAATTCGGTGTGTCTTTTTTGGTTATTCATCCCATCAAAAAGGTTATCGTTACTACTCTCATTCTAAAAAATGGTTCTTCACATCTATGGATGTCACTTTTCAAGAGCATAGACAATTCTTCTTAAAAATCGAAATCCAAGGGGAGAGTGAGTTACCCATCGTTCCATCTTCGACTGAAAAAACTACCACTCCACAACCTCTTAACACCACCACAACTGATAATGAAAACCAATCCATTAATCCCATAGTCTCTCATATAACACCCAGGCCATCTACCGATATTCTCACCTATACAAGACGACCCAAACGAGCCCTACCTTCCACACCACATCCAATGCATTGTCAAGATCCAGAACCAGATTTAAATCAATCTACAGACAAAGGAGATGATGGCCAAAGTAAGTTAGATGTGGTAATTGATACTAGTGAGTTACTAATTGCTCAAAGAAAGGGAGTTAACGATGTACAGCTCATCCAATTAGTAAATTTATTGCTTATGGGAAACTAATGTCTGGTTTTAAGACTTTCACAACTTAGGTTGATTATATTCACATTCTAGAAACCATAGAGGAGGCATTAAAAAGTCTTGAGTGGAAGAAGGTAGATGAAGAAGAAATTTCAGCTCTAGAAAACAACAAAACCTGGGTCATCGTTGATCTACCTAAAGACAAGAAACCAGTCAGCTGCAAATGGGCCTTTACCGTGAAATTCAAGGCAGATGGAAAATTTGAGGGATATAAGGCTAGACTTGTGGCAAAAGGGTTCACTCAGACTTATGAAGTTGACTATCAGGAGACCTTTGCTCCAGTTGCAAAACTCAACACTGTTCGAGTTCTATTATCCTTGGCAGTAAACAATGATTGGATACTTCACCAACTAGACATGAAAAATGCATTTCTCAATGGAAATCTTGAAGAAGAAGTTTATATGCAAGTTCCACCAGGAATTCATTATGGAAATAACCGAGTATGTAAACTACTAAAATCCTTATATGATCTAAAACAATCATCTAGAGCTTGGTTTGATAGATTCACGAAGGTAATATTACAAGACAACTACAAACAGTGTCAATCCGATCACACTCTATTTGTAAAAACTGCTCCAGATAAGAAGAAGTCAATCCTGATTATCTACGTTGATGATATCATCATCACTGGTGATGACTTAGTAGATATCGAAAAGTTGAAGACTTTACTAGTAAAGGAGTTTGAAACCAAAGTGTTGAGAACTCTAAGATATTTCCTAGGCATGGAGGTAGCAAGATCACGAGAAGGAATTGTCATAAATCAAAGAAAGTATATTCTATACTTACTTTCTGAAACTGGAATGACTAATTGTAAGTCATCGGAAACTCCTATGGAAGTTAACTTAAAATTGAGTAAAGATGGAGACCCGGTAAACAAGGAACATTATCACATGTTAGTGGGTAAACTCATTTAGCTATCTCTCACTAGACCTGACATTGCTTTTCCTATTAGCATTGTTAGTCAATACATGAATGATCCAAGAGAAGAGTATCTGGAGGTAGTCAATCGAATCTTAAAATATCTAAAGATAACACCAGGACATGGGTTGATTTTCAGAAAACATGAAGACATAACAGTTAAAATCTTCTCAGATTCAAGTTGGGCTGGAGAATTAACAGATAGAAGGTTAACCTCAGGATATTGCTCATTGGTATGGGGAAACCTAGTAACATGGAGGAGCAAGAAAATTTCAGTAGTCTCCAGGAGCAGTGCAGAAACAGAATATTGGGCGATAGCACTCGGGATATGTGAAGGAATTTGGCTTCAAAGACTATTAACCAAACTAGAGATGTGCGACAACTATTTTGAACTTCAAAGTGACAGTAAATCTACGATAAGCATTGTAAAGAATCCGGTGCACCACGGCAGAACAAAACATCTTGAGATCGACAAACACTTTATCGCAGAAAAAAGTAAATTGCGGAATTGTGAAACTCAACTACGTCTCTTCACAAAACCAGCTAGCAGATGGATTGACCAAGGCACTTCCAATGATTACCTTTGATGAAATTACATGCAAGCTGGGTATTCACAATATTTACTCCCCAAGGGGAGTGTAAGTAATGTTTAAGTTAAACTCTTAATCCTAATTTATCTCTAAAAACTATCTCCTAATTTGTAGAAAATATGACTCCTATTTTATCTAGGTCTCTAATTCATATATATAAATACCCCATGTCCCCTCTTGTGTAATATGCAATTTTCTTTTGAATAAAAGTATTTCAATTCTTTCACTACCGGAAAAATATGGTTATTTACAGTTTGTTGTCATGCAACATACAAAGCTTAAAGGAACATAAGTAATCAGACCGCGTGAGTTTAACATCCTTTTGCTATTCAGAGTTTTGATGTTTGGAGATAAAGCTGGTAAAATTTCTCAATCTTTTCCTTGTGCTATCAAGGCTATGTCGCTTTCCTTACCTGGCAGCCAAAACCATTTGGATGCTGTTGGAGTAGCATGAATGCAAAGATGCTGCAATTACTAGATGGATTTGCTACTCTAGAGAGGATTTGAGGAGTTAGTCACGGACTCACGGGTAAGTTGGAAGATCTTGCTAAGAGCATGCATATTGAGCATTGAATTTCACTTTCCTTTTTATTCCTACTAGCTGATCATGGTTCGATTGCTAAGATCAGGGTTGCATTAAATAAATCCATTTAACCCATTATTTGATCTGCTTGAATGTCATGATCTTTATAAGAGGTAAAAAGAATGAAGATATGGAATCTGAATTTATGTTTCTTTATCCTTACCATAACGGCCATAGGAACGACACTATATTGTGCACTGATAAGCAATAAATGAGGTAGAAATCAGGAATTCGTCCATTGTATTCTTTGCCATGCGATCAGGAATCTCGAGATCACCTACTTTGTGATTGCAGTTTTTACAGGATCTTAAGGATTCAGATTATGCAGCAATGCCAAACTATCAGAGAGACCTCATATAGAATAATGTTCTTAGCTGGACAGTTCGAAAGCTCAAGGGCAGATCGCTTCTCCCTACTGTTATCATCTTGAAGCTTATGTGGAACACGATCACGTTTTGACAGAAAGAAACAGAAAGACCTCATGGAAGCCCTCAGATTGCAAGTCTTTGATATAATCAAGGAAGAGATTCAACACTAGCTGACCAACCTGGTACGGATTAGATTCAACACTAGCTGACGAACCTGGTACGCTCGGATCCTGACGGTGTAAATAGAAGTCCTCACATTGATGAATATGCTAGCTACTCGGTTTTGATGTAGAAGCTCATTACTGCTTCCTGGATAATTAAAATAAATGCAAGGAGGTACACTACAACCACCTTGCTTAAATCAATTATGAGATTTGAATTTACTTTATAGTTTGTACTCTGATTTTTTTTAAACAAATGAAATTTGTTTCACCAAATTAATGAAATTGATGTCTGACTGTTCAATTGGAATCCTCGTTGATCTTCGGCTAACATATTGAGATTCACATCTTTTAAGTTATTACAATTAGAGTGGTCAAATTATCTGAGTTTAATAGGTTTCAATTTGATTTTATAACATTATATTTTTTTTCTTAAAATTTGAATTCAATTCGGATTTTATAAAGGGTGAAATTAAATCGAACTTAGATTAAGGGTGAAAAATCTATGACCTAATCCAACCCGAGAAATACTATACTTTCTCTTTA